TTTTAAAGGCTAAATTCACATGTAGAAGCTAAAACAACTTATTTATTTATTTAGACAAAATGTTATAACATTTTTGTATATAATCAGTCATGTAAGGGTTATACTTAATAAAATCAACAAAAAAGTCTAGGTTATATTAAATACTAGGGATGGTTTACATCTGCTCTAATAACTTTTGTGTATGTACGCATTTAAATATGGTTAAATATGGCTGGTGGAATGATCTTCCCACCCCCATCTGGAATGTACTAATCTGAACAATGTCTGAAATTTTGTATTGCGAGCACTTCCTGTGTTTATTTGCCTCCTTATGATGAATTGCTTGTTCTATTCCTCAATTGTAAGTCTTTTTGGATAAAAGCATCTGCTAAATGAATAAATGTAAATGTAAATATGGCTTTAAAAATTCCAGTACACTATTTTTTTGTTGTTGTTGTTGTTGTAAAGCTGTTGTACAAATAAAGTGAACTTAAAATGAGTTGAATAAAGACTGTTTTATACTTTAAGGTAGGCTGAGCAGTAATAAATCAGTATGAGAGATCAGTAACTGAGGGTCATGTAATGGAATTCAGAACCATGTCCAGAGTTGAAGCCTGATCCGCTGGGTTTCCCCTTTGATATGATGAGGTGTCTAAACTATCAACACAACGGCTGTGCCAAGCAAACAGTTAGAAGTGCTTTCTCGATGACAATAGGCTGTCACAAGGTGACAGGCTACAAAAAACAACAACCGCGTAATACTCATTGCAATGTCTTACATAAGATGACTTTTTGTCCATGATTTTGGTGATGGTATTAAATTAACAAATCTCTCATGACCAGTTTCTGCTAATCTTTTGGATGATTCCTTCACCTGAAGAAACTCAACAGCCAAGACAAACAGAGTTAATAAATCCAAGTCATGCCATGATTAGGTACAGATATTTGTCAGGCCCCATATCTCAAATATTAAGAACCAATCCTCACTCATTAATGCAGTAATTGTTCACTGCATAAGACGATTAGGCATGTCCACCAGTGAAATCCTGGCCTCACACAACTTACAGGAAGAGTAGGCTTATTTGTACTTGATGAAGGCTTTCAAAAAAGTTTTTTTGTACTAAATAAATAGAAATAAAAGAAAAGAAATGAAAGAATTATACAACCGGGAGCTGCCCTAATTTTTTGGGGTATTAATAAAAAAACTGGCTTAAAACTGTTATATCTTAGTAAACAACTTGTATTCTTGTATACAAGATGAGTTTCTAGCCATTACTTTAACTGCACATCCGACTCTTTCCACTCCTTTCTCAGTTCTCTCCTAATCAAGCCTTCCTTTCAAGATTTAGGCCGGATAAGGAATGCAGCCTGACTTTCCAAAGCTTAGTGCTCATTGACAAACCCGGTGTTCATCTCTGGTGTCCCCAGAATGTGTCTGTGAAGTTTCAGCTCAAAATACTCCACAGATCATTTATTATATCATTTTGAAAATGCCTATTTTGAGTGGAAGCAGAAACACACTGTTTTTCGGGCCTATCTCTTTAAATGCAACTGAGCTGCTGCTCCCCGCCCCCTTTTCCAGAATAGAGCTGCGCCATTACAGCTCGTGCCTGATATAAAACATCTGTTATGGTTCTGATTATCATGTTTATCGCGCTGAAATCATGCGTTTTAAACCATATGAGTTTAAACTTGTTTATCGCACTGAAATCATGCGTTTTAAACCATATTAGTTTAAACTTCTGATATGCAGTTTTCTGAGTGCACACATCCAAAGCACACGAACAGAAAGCGGCTGTCACAACATGTGAGTACTAAACTAAGTTCTCATTCACACACAAGTTTACGTTAAAAACACACGAGTTACAAAAACAGACTCGGTTATGTCTGTGAAGGTAAACTGCTGGGAAATTCTGTGCAGCCAAAGGCAGAACAGTTAGCATGTTTTGCTCAAACTTTCGCCAACACCGTTGTCGTTTGCAAAATCAAAATGATGGTGCCATGGGTGGAAACTTACAGATTAAGGGGCGGTAATATTATAATGAGATCCCTTTGCCACGTCACCAAGGGAGCGAAATCAGACGCGCTCATTTTCTCAGACGCTTGCAGAAAAAGGCTTACCAAAACAAAGTTACTGGGTTAATCTTTTTCACGTTTCCTTGGTTGGTAGATGCACCAGGGACCTGATTATAGCACTTAAAACCTGGAAAAGTCAGATTTTCATGATATGTCACCTTTAAAGTTATTTTGGCACGATATGCTGTTACAAATGCAAGCACTCACGCCATTTTCAGATCCAGGCCTGTAGCGATGTCCGATTTGTGGACGATTGACGATAGTTCATCTTCAGGAACGATTCGTTCATTGCGTTTGTCACGTGACTAATAAATGAAAGACTCGGGACGTCTGGAGGTAATTACTTATGTTCCTCATAAATTATGTTTTGCTGCTTTATAATGATATCCTAATTTGGAAAATGATCAAGATTGCGTAGGTGAACTTGTTGGCGGAATTTGGCAGTTGAAAATCAAATGAACGAAATTACTTGAAACATTAGAATGAGAAATAGAAAGAATATGAAAAGGAACTTTTAAATCCGAATAGCAAAACCGTTACAGGTAAACGCACTAGAAAGATGTATCGTCTGATGTGAATGCACTGCATAATTAAGTTTTAATTGACTTATTTTTGAGTCCTGTCAGCAAATAACAGACTGAGACCACTGATCTATAATAGAGAACATATATAGATCAGTGACTGAGACACAAATTACAGTAAAAACCTTTATTAATAACACAGCCTTATGGCTTAATTTGTATTTAGAACTGGTTCTTTGAAAATAACGGTTTTAAAGACTTGATTCCCGGAAATGAGTCTGGAGTTCTACTAATCGCAAATGTGTCCAGCAGTGTTGCCAACTAATTTTCAGGGAAAGTTGCTAAAGGAAGGTTGATTTGTAGCTAAAAGTTGCTAAATGATGTTGTGACGTCACTGCTTGATGACGTCGTTACGTAATCACGACGCAAAATGGTGTCACTACATCATCTCAGCAAAAAATATGTTTATTTAGATTTGTACGTAAAGTAATATAAATGCATAATATAATATTAAAATGTAAATAACTATTTTTAAATACATTGAGTTTTTGAAAAATTACATTTTTAACTATTATAATTTTTTTTTTTATTAGCTAATAAAACTACACATTCTGAATTATATTTTTAAGCAGTGTATTAGTAGTTAGTTAGTATGCTCCACTCTAAGAAAAGTCTGTAAAATGGGGCACTTGTTATGGGGTGAACGAGACGTGCGGATCCATCCGCAAAGCTTTTATTTAGAGGCGTGGTCATAAAACAGGCAAGGTTCTGACAATGGCAAACAGGTATATTGAGGGCAAGACAAAAGAGTAATCCAAAACTGGTGTGAGTCAGTCGACAGCGAACGTTATCCAGAGGGCTTGACAAGAGGGGAAATCCAATAACACGAGCAATAGTCCAGGCCAGGAGCAAACACAGTCCGAAACAGAAAGGCAAAGGGTTAATCCAAGATAAACAGGCAAGAATCAGGTAACACGGGAAAGCAGACAAGACTATGAACTAAGGACTAGAAACTAGGACAGAAAACTGGCTCCATAATGTGCTACTACTAGGAGAGTGATATACGCAAACAATACTCGGCAGTTTGAGAAGGTTCTGAGTGAGTGTAATATAGTGTGTGTGTGTGATTGGTTACAGCTGTGTGCAATCAGTGCAATGGATGATGGGAAATGTAGTCTGTGGTGATGTGTAACAGTCTGTGTAGTGAGAGAGTCAATATGATGGACGAGTGACCTCTGGTGGCGATCGGACGGAAGTCCATGGACAGGATTCGTAACAGCACTGTCTACTATGTTAATATGAAGGAATTTTCTGTATTGATTTTTCCACAGTTTTTTTACCTGCAATTTTAATTACGCATTGTATTTTGTGTTTTTGGATTACAGGGTTACAACGGATAATGGATAACGGATGATGTCCTGGAAAATTACCAGTACCTTTTCAATTTTTATAGATATTTTTCTTACAGTGTACTAACTGATCAACAATCGCAACAAGCTACTAACAAAATGTATCATAAATGAACAATTATTTAATTACTAAATTATTTAATTACTATTATTAAATTAAACAATTGCAAATAGCAGCTAACTTTATACACGTGATGTGTGTACTGCTAGGCATCTTTGGTTTTCTATTTTTGTGTAATTTAAATGGTAAATGTGTAAAAAACATTATAATTTCAGTCACTTATCAAAAGTTGCCAAATAAATTTTAAAAATAGCTAAATTTGTTCCTAGGTGCTTTTGGAAGAAAAAGTTGCTAGGGTAGTCTGAAAAGTTGCTAAACTTAGCAACAAAATTGCTAAGTTGGCAACACTGGGTCCAGTGATTGACCACTCGTCAGGTTGAAATGGCGCCACCGTGTGGTGAACTAAAAACCGCCGCTGTCTATCAGCAGGAGCTCAGGAACAGAACGTTCAACTCTGGCAAATCTAATGCACTCAGTGTTAAAAATAAATGTACTCCATGTTAATCACCTAATGAAAACATTTCTAAATAGTCTTTATTTGGTAGTTACGTAGAATGAGACTAGGACATGACAAGACGAGTTAAAACCTTCATCTCATTCCACCAGGAAGCACCGGCGCTTAGACTTCATAAATTTAGCCTACTGACAAAGCTGTGATATATATATATATATATATATAAAAATAACACACACAACTTCCAACCTTTTTGAGAGTTTTATTTTCTCACAAACCAAGGTCTGTTTACAAAAAAAAAACAAAAAGAAAATTTGTACCTAGGTATTGCATATCATGCTGGCAGTCATAACTACATGCAAAACAACAACATGACCAACAATTATAATATGGAAAAAAAACACACAAAAAAAAACACGAGGGTACTCAAAAGGAAGAAGTTACAACTGGTATTACAAATGTTAATATAAAAGGGTTTTTATTTAATTAAGGTGTTTTTGACAAGTAGGTAACAGTGGAGCAGTTCAGTTTCAAGGGGCAAAGGAAGTCTCTTTAAAACTGGTCCAGAAAGACACGCAAGGAAAGCACGTCAATTACACATTCACACACATTCACACCAAGAGGACCATTCTGCATATACAAAACCCAACAATAAGAAGCCCTTTAACAAATACAATGTTATCAAATTTCAAAACTATACAAGATACTACAACTGAACTAATACAATTACTATAGAATTACAGAGTTAAACTACAGAGATACAGAATGTGTAGATTATGGCTTTTTATCAAGTGTAGAACTCTACACATCATGAGATGGCATAATCTGTCAAAATGGCTTAAAAAAAAAAAAAGTTGATCTCTCCCCCCCCCCACACGAAAGAAGTGCACTCCAGCTCAGGTTTCACAAGCCTCACCCTAATGTCTCTATCACTGAACAGATCTGAAAGCATAATCTCTACCCATATCCACATTAAACTATGAAACAAGGACATATTCTACCTATACTGCAAGGAAGACAGTGGGTTCATACTTTTTAGCCATATTGCAAAAGACAGAGTTGAAATTAATATGGCAGAAATCAAATCTCTGCCATTACACATTGATCATTCCAGCACTGTAGTAAAGAGACCCAAACTCTGTAACCAAAACAGGAATACATGTATTTTGGACGGTAAATTATGAAGCTTAAATCTGAAGTTTATTATTTGATTGCTAAATTAAACCAGTTGGAGAACTTGATCAAACTATGGCATGAGATGAAGGGAAGTGGAAGGACTGGGTGTTGGTGTGTGGCGGCTTCACTCCTTCATTGTAGGTGGTGGTTGGTGACAACATGGGACGGACAGCCTCAGTCCGCACTGACCTGCGTGGTGACCTGCCCGTCGGCCGTCTGGTTGGTGGACTGAATGAACATAGGCTGGGTCAGCTCCTGCCCTGCAGGCATCGTCACCTGCTGGATCTGATACAGCTGCTATAGAGTCACAGGAAGAAAGGGAGGGATGCGTGTTAGTGAAGTGATAAATAACATTTGAGATCTGGATTGAAACTGTAGCTGTGGTAAATAAGGCTAACAGAAAGAGAATGTAGGAGAATGTAATTACAGTATTGTATAGCACATTACATATAGAATAGTATTATAAAATTAGAATATTCTATATTGTATTTTAATATAACATAATACGTATTTTAATATTTTCATGCTACATGCAAAAGTTTGGGGTCAGTATGTTTTGTGGAAAGAAATTCATACTTTTATCCAGCAAGGACGCATTAAATTGATCAAAAGTGACAGTAAAGAACGATCTCCGTTTCAAATAAACGTGTTCTTCTGAACATCCTATTCATCAAAGAATCCTGAAGAAAATGTATCACAGTTTTCACAAAAACATTAAGCAGCACAACTGTTTTCATCATCGATGATAATAATAATAAATGTTTCTTGAGGAGCCAATTCAGCATAACAGAATGATTTCTCAAGGATCATGTGACAGGAGTAATGACTGCTGAAAAGTCAGCTTTGCCATCACAGGAATAAAGTACATATATTTATATATTCATATATAAAAAAATTTTTTGTGGAAAATAGGCTATTTTAATTATATTAACAGTTAATTTTGATAAAATTTCACAATATTACTGACCAAATAAATGCAGCTGTGAACATAAGAGATTTCTTTCCAAAACATTTTAAGCCTTACTTACCCCAAACTTTTAAACAATAGTGTGTGTGTGTGTGTGTGTTTGTAAAAAAGCCTTAAAAAAATATACAAAAAGGGGGGGGATCATTACCTGCCCATCAGTAAACTGGCTGAACTGTTGCTGACCCTGTTGTACTTCTGTCTGTGAAATCTAAAGAACAATTCAAGATTACACCCATCAATTTTATTCAATTCATCAAATTATATATTATGTGAAATATACAACTGTGTAACATCTGCACCATTAGTGTCACCAGATGAGAAAAAAAAAAAACACTCCTCTCGTGGCCATGAGTTGGGCTAATACTGCTGACCATCTTTAAGATCTTTCATGATTTACCTGCTGAGTGTTTGTCGCAAGTGTCTGTATTTGTCCTTGAACAACCTGTGTTCCTGAGACAGGCTGAGCCAAGCGAATATACTGCAGCTGGCCGGTGTTGAGCTGCACCTGCAGGATACCACAAGGGGGCAATGACGAGAACACATCATTACCTCCTAATAACAAGCATGTTTGCCTGGTCTTCATGTAGCACAGGTGTGCTGCAATCCGTATTACCAATTTATAATGCTTTGGAAAGGCCAAAATTACAAAATGCAAAGGTAAAAGTCTTTTCTCCCAAGTTCTTACTGGAATCTGCTGGATCTCTCCCGTGTTGGTGATGATCTGCTGCATAACCTGCATAGTCTGTCCAGCCGGCTGTGCTGCCTGCGCCTGTCCCTGTGCAGCCGCCTGCACAATCTGCACCTGCTGACCTTCGCCCACCTGCATGGTCACCGGAGCACTCTGAAAGAGGAAGGATGAAAGTCATGAGGTGGGACTACGGCTTCAAACTTACATTGAAGTTGCGTTTCGATCTGTTGTGTGCCTTTCAAGTCTCTTTCAGCACGTACGCTGGAATAGATGAACTAGCGTTAGCATTACAGCCTACTGTACTGTGGGCTGGGACGGCCTCCAAAAGAAAGTGAAATTGAAGACGTGTTGAGGAAAGGGGAGAGGTGCAAGACTGTGACCCCGGGCCTCTTGTGTTGAACCGAGAAACCTGGGCGCTGACTGCAGAGGTGTGACAGATGATCTCTCCTCTTCAGGAACTGACACCCGATAGGCGAGAGCAATTTATTAAGCAGCACAACTTTATCTGGCCTAAGACATGCAGTAACCTCATATCGCGTCAAGTAGAGGGCATATGAATTGGAGACTTGGCCCTGTGTGAAAAATATCTGCTCTGTTTGGTTTAGGAGAAAATGGTCACTTCTGCCTTCAGTTAACCCCCTAGCTAATCTTATTATAGCAGACACGCTACTGTTCCAACAGTTTAGGGTTGTTAAGATTTTTAATGTTTATGAAAGTTTTTGATGTTTTCTTTCTCACCAAGACTGCATTTATTTGATCAAAGTAAATACAGTAAAAACTTCAAATAAATGTAAAATAACCTTTCTATTTTAATATACTTTAAAATGGGACTTTTCCCATAATGTCCTTAATGTCCATAATATTGATATAAACTTCAGCAAAAAGCTGTTTTCATATATAATGACAGTTTTCTCATTGCAAAACGTTACAAGGTTCCTTTTGAAGTCTCACTTTCAGTAACCACAAGACTCAAGCTCAAATCAATAAACACAAGGTCTGCGGTCACATCGCACATTGGAGAAAAATTCCTATGACTACTGCCAAGACCATGCAAAGATCTAAACAGACTAGAACAACTGTACTTTATTCTGTTTTGAAAATAAATAATTGACACGATCAGTCCAGCAGTGTGACATGTTATATTATTTTAAACACCTTTATAAATTAAATTTTTATGACCCCATATGAATTGAGTGAAATGAATTTGTCAAATGCACGATGGCTCAAGTAAACTTAAAAAAAAAAAAAAAAACTACCACCAGTAAACTGAATATCAGTATCCAGAAAATTTTATGAGGAAATTAAAGAAGAAAAAAAATCATATCCTCTGCTTCTGTTTGCTACATTGTTTCATGTACAGTAGTACATGATATAGTACCCAAACAGGGATATTTTGCTGATGTATTGTGCTTTGAAATGCTGTTCTTATTCAACTGTCATGAAAAAAGCCCTAAAAAGCTACTTTTTACGTCAAAGAGGGACTTTTTGGGGAAGAACAGGGGTCATTTTGAGGGGTTTGAGGTGTTTACCGTGATAGGGGTCGCCTGTGATTGAGCAACCTGCACCTGTTGCAGCTGCTGCATGGTAGTTCCTTGCAATACCTGATGAAGAGGAGGAAATAATACGAGAAAGAGAGTGAACTTGACAACACAAGCAAGCACATGCAAAGCGCATACTCAAACGTCATATAAAAAGCAACAAAAAAGGCAAAGCACTGAAAAGCCACAAACAGTGTAAAGAAATGAAAGTGTGATGTGTCACATGTAGTATGAACAGATTTATTCACACCATATCCATATTTTTGAAATGACATAAAACATGCATAAAGCTTTTTTAAATGAACAACTTCACACCAAGCCTGAAATATCACACTACAATAATATATAATATATATTATTTACAAGGCAAGAATTCTACATTGGATTTAGTGTGAATAATTAAAGTTTGAATAATTGCTGTGAATATTTGATAACTTGTGTCACTCTGTAGTTTCAGATTTGGTGTGAACCGGCATTAACTGAAGCAGAGTTTAAATCAGCAGCAAAGATGAAGCATCTGTTATAGCAGATGAGTGCAAGCTCTGGTGTAAAATTTGAAAATAATGACAGTTTATGGAAGTTTTGCATTTGGGGAAATGACTGCATATAGCGGCACAAAGCAGTGAGCAGACAGCGAGATGAAGCTAAACCGACTCTCTGTCCTCAGGTTTGAAGATAAAACCCCACTGACAATACATTTTTACTTAAAGGGTAAACAGAAGAGAGCTTGAACAGAGCGCATGAAGGAACAGGTCACAATCTGACAAATGTTTTGTCAAAATTGTTCAATAAACATGTGGTCACCTTTTTCCTGTGCATAAATACTCTACACCACTATTTTTCTCTCACCTTATTTCTTTCCTACCTATGTATATACACTACCGTTCAAATGTTTGAGGTCTGTAAGATTTTTTTATGTTTTTAAAAGATCAAAAATTGTAATATAAAAAGTAACTTTCTATTTTAATATATAATTAATTCCTGTGATGGCAAAACTGAATCTTCAATGTCATGATTCTTCAGAAATGTGCATGTTTGCATTAAAATCCTTAATATTTAAAAAATATTTAATATGTTCTTTTTAACATATTTTTTTTCAGGATTCTTTGATGAATAGAATGTTTAAAAGAACAGCATTTATTTGAAATAGAAATCCAACAGTACAGTTGTCTTTACTATCACCTTTGATTAACTTAAACCATCCTTGCTGAATAAAAGTATTAATATTTCAAAAAACAACAATTAGCAACAGCAAACGTTTGAAGGGTAGTATACGTAGGGCCCAAACACCTGACACCACTACTGAAAATGCTTTTGATTTGCTTCCCCCCCCCCTAAATTCTATAATCAGCATAACAATAAAAATAAATAAAAAAAGTGTAAAGATGAACTGAAAATGTAAAAAATAAAATAAAAAATCTGATCTGTTGCACAATGAAGTTCAAATGATGTCACAAATTAGCTTATTTGATCAGTGACCTAGAAATTGTCCACAAACGTGTATATATCTAGATCTATCTATATATACTGTATCTCTCTCTCTCTCTCTCTATATATATATATATATCAAGAAGGAAACAAAAAAATTATATATATATATATTTTCAGTTTGACATTTTTCAAAATTCTAAAACTTTATTTTCAGGTTGAAATTAGAATTTAAATCTCATTTTAGTGTGGTCTGACAATTTTGAACCCTAGTTGAATATATTTGTCCCAAGAGCTCTCTAAGGTGACTGCAGCACAACTCTGCCCAAGTCTGACAGGTCAGCAAACTGCAGCTTGCTGAAGCAGCACTGATCTTTAGAGAGAGAATGAGGTTCACCACAGAGAAGAGAGAGAAAGTGAAAAATAGCCTCACACTGGTGGAATTAAACCAGTATAACTTAACAAAATAAAAGTTAACTACATAAAAACAAAAAGGTAGAGGCGTGGAGAGGACTGCTGTGTTCATGCTAAAAAGTTGGACAGATATCACATGAGAGAGTGACTGGATTCTCTACTGTTCACCTGATAGCAACGTGAAAATGACACCTCTGGGCTTTCAACCTTCACCAATAATGTTTCAAATGATCCTGTAATGGGCTGATCAAAGTAGTCAGGGCTCAAGTGTTGTGTGCGAGAGTAGATACGATAAAGTTTCAGGCTTTTGTCCACCAGACCGTAGTATAATATACACTAGGGTAATTACAAGGGCAAACAGTGCCCTACAGATACGTTTTCTTACCTGTGCTGACATATTTCCTATTAAAATAGGAAGTTTCGGCGGGACGTAATCAAAAGAGTAACTCGTTTCTTTTAAATAGTCAAGAGGCTTTATTTACATCATAGCCATATATAATGATATGCTACTTGCTGTGTCACGCGAGATGAGTCATCAATATATGTGCTGTTTTTCCTGTGTTAAATGTGTATGTTTGATAAATGTTAATGAAAGCTGCATCCAAAATCACATGCTCTCTGAACAGGCAGGTACTTTGCAACTGATAAAAAGGTATGTTTCATACAGCATGAATGCACTCTTGACATTCTATATTAGTCATGTTGTCATTGTCATGTGACCTATCAGTTTCAGTTGGGTATCTTCACTGCCATTCACAAATCCTCTCCTGCAGCCTCATGAGCCTGCATGTCCATCAGATGTGCACTTTGGTAGTAAGCAAGCATTTTGCCTAATGTTTTATGAATGCAATGAATTCGGACATACTATTTTCACATACTGAAATAGAATGGAATTATGTGATTTCGGATGCAGTCAAAAGCCCTATTCGCACGGGATTAGTATTATCTGGAGACCTTGTGTGATTTTGAAATTAACCCCCCACCTCTGAATTTCGTGTGGTGCATTCGCACGGGATAAGCGAAGCCTGTGATTTTACTCGAATTTACCGACTTATCTACCAGATACCCGGATGTCAAGGCTTTGAGAGTCCCGTTCTATGGTCCAGATGGATTAAAAAAAAAGAAAAGAAATTAATATAGTTTTGTGCCCTGTGACATTTACATTTCACCAGGTTAAAATAGTATCTCAAGATTTATGCTTGATTTATTTGTAACACATTAACCTCAAAACCTTTTCAGCCTTTTCTATCTACAAATTGTATGGTGTAGCGATATAACAGCACCCAAAATACTATCAAACACTCCAACGCAGCTCCATTCTTCGCGAAAGATGGATGGAAACAAAAACCTCGAAAAATGATATACGACCCGCCAAATGCTGGCCGAATCACAGATGCCGATTTGCACGGGACTAATATTATAACAGGACCTCGGTGTTCGGCGAAATATGGTAGGTCTTTTGCGGGGGAATTTTTACTTTACAAATTACAGACATGGCCGATTCGCACAGGATTAAGATCACAGACAACCTCCGCAATTATTACAAATGATTGGAGGTCACCAGGTAATACTAATCCCGTGCGAATAGGGCTTTAGTCTCAAAACTAATTGTTTTATGCTATGGTCCATATATGTACTGCGTTCTTGGGTTTGTGGCAAGTGTGTGAGAATTACCTGGCCCTGCTGGGGCTGAGCGATGATAATCTGTCCGGGCTGCAGTGTGGTGGCGGTGGGAGCAGCCACCTGCTGGCCTTGCTGCTGACCTTGGACCTGCACTGCACTGGGCTGCTGCGCCAGAGTGAAGTAATACTGGACCGGCTCAGTCGGGGCGACGGACTGACGCACTTCCTCCTACACAGACAGGCACAATTATAGAGAAATGTATACCTTATATTACAGCACACCTCAGCAGGATCTTCATAAATGCAAGAGAGCATCCAACAATCCCATAAACACACACAGATGAAATCAAGAGTTCATAAGGCCTATCTGCTGGTTACATCTCCATAAATTATTTTAGCTCTGTAACACTACAAGCAGGATGAGGATAAATTACTTCTAGGCAAATCAAGAGCGAGTAATGCAATCTTCTAGCTGGACAGAAACGAGACCTTTAGCTGCAGTCTGTGGCCTGAACTCCCACACTCAACCGCGGCATAATAGCAGGCAATCAGCTGTCCTATTCTAACACAAACAGCAGGAATACCCAAACGTTTGTACCCAGAAGAGTATCTTTATATTTCGTCGTCATCCATTCCTGAAGATTTATTTGTAACAAAGACAGTAAACATCCCTCTCCCAGCTTGGTGATGTCACAGCTGAGAGTGTAGGATGTTTACACACCTGGTCACACACACATAAACACCACAGGACCATAAAGCCATCGGGTCGAACAAAGACAATGGTTTAGCTGAGCTAGGAGGGCTCGGATCATTGAATATATTGTGTAAATTCCTTCTTTTTGCATGTGCTTACTATCTGTTGTGTCTTCCCACTGTGGTATTTCGAGCTACTCGTATTTGATTTTGGTTTTTTCATCCCTGGCGTGATGAAATTTTCCCAAAGCTTTTGTTTAATGATGATAATAGACACCCAATTTTAATTCATAGCTAAAATATGATAATATATCATAAACTAGAAAATTGAAAAAAAAAAAAAAAAAGTATAAACAAGTATAAAATCTCAAAGAACAGACTTAAGTAACTCTTGAAAGGCAGTTTAGATGTTTATCTTTATGTTGCTAATGCTCTCTACAGAAACATTTGAGGGAAGTGCTCAGGGTGTAACTGGCAAATAATCTACAATGTAAATTCAAAGTACATGTTCTGTTAAATGGGAAGAAATTAATGTTCTGTCAAATGAAAGAATTAAAATGGCTGGTAAAATCTGTGACTGGCCGCACATAATTGTTTTTGGAGTCAGGCACATGGCACTATGGCCACATTCGTAAAATAAACAAGCAATGAATAAATATGATGTCTGGTTGTGCAGAGATAGGGGAAGCAGGGTGCTGCAAACATCTGACTGAAAGCCTTCACAAACCCTACACCCAGCTTCCAGTCAAGGATGTTTACAGCGCCCCTACACTGCCAAAGACAACACAGCACCATCTCCTCTTCACAGATGCTGAAGAAAAAAAATTGTAGATGCTGATTAATTTTGACAGCTTGAAGCTCTTCTCCACACCTGTCGTTTTGGAGGCTTGAGGTCATCGCGTGGGACGATATCAATGAGGAAGTCAAACTGATCAAACTTAGTGATGGCCATGGCGATGTCATTCCTCTGGAAAACAGAAAATAAGATCAGACAGTC